CCCCAGACGTTACCCGGCGTAGCCCTTCGGCAGGAGGGGCAACAGGCTGGGGTGGGGTCCCTTCGGGCCACAGGGGTCCCAGGGGCAGCAGAGAAAGCAGAGGGTGAAAGCGGAAGGTCCCCAGGTGGTGGTGGTGGGGAGCTGGAGGGAGAGAAGGAGCATGAGGACAGGGAAGGGCCTGCCAGGCCCGCTGGTGGTGGTGATGGTCTGCGGCCGGAGGGCAGGCCTGAGAAGCTGATGCTCTGGCGAAGCACATGGGGGTGGCCTGGGACAGCCAGATCCTCGCTGGGGTTGTGGATGAAGTGGCAGCGTGAGCCGTAGGGGCAGCGGCCCTGGAGGTAGAACTTGTGGCAGAGTTCTGTCTTGTACTTGGGGTGGCGACTGGCCTGGCGCAGCTCGCCCAGACCGTGGGCAAACTGGCACTTAGCCCCATAGCGGCAGCGCCCGCTCTCTGAGAAGGTCCGACATAGCTCAGTCTTGTAGCGGGATGAGGTGGTGGGGGTCGCAGTAGGTGAGGTGGGTGAGGGTGACAGTTCAGGGCCTGGGCGGGGAGCCAGGGGTGCGAAGCCTGGGGGTGGCGGGACCCAGCCACAGCTTCGACCCTCCACCAGGCTGGTGGAGCGGCCAGGCAGACGGGCACCGACCCCAGCCGGGCTGTTGTCGGAAGAGCTGAGGCTCCAGAGCCCGGAGGAGGCCCAGCCTGGGCTGGACTCAGTCTCACCGTGGTCAGATGGCAGGTCAGGGCTCAGCGACAGGAGGCTCTGTGGGAACAGGGACCGGTTAAGACACCGAAAATGCTGCGTGACGCCCCACCACAGCTGCAGGGCACCTAAGAGCTTGCCAGTCCGGTTTGTGGGCTCCCGGCCCGAGCCCCACCTGCCCACGTTAAAACATGGGCTCCCGATTTGGAGGTTCTGAGTTTACTCGCGACGGAAGCCCCTCCCGAAGCACCCAGGCACTCCGGCTCCCCCGGCTGGATCAAGAGGAGACCCCAGCCTTCCCGAAGAGGACAGGCACGCCACTGTCCTCTCAGTTTTGAGCCTCTGGGCCTCTCGGGATCTGACCCCCGCGCCTCGGGTTCTCCAGTTTCACAACTGGAGGAGCAGGCAAACTTCACCCAGGCAGGGGCCGGGATCTCGTCGCTTTTCGAGTTCCCAGAGTTCCCCGCTGGGTCAAGGGGTGGAGAGACAGAAGTCGGCTTCCCCTCACCCCGAGACTCCAGCCCCAGAAACGCCTCCGCGCAAAACCGCGCCCTCAGCAACTACGAAGGGGGTAAAACCAGGTGTGGGACCATTTCCGCCTCCAGACAGCCCTAGTCTGAGAAAAGTCTTCCACTTTTCCACCTCCAAGGGCCACCCCACCAATGTCTGGGCCGAGCCCCGAAAGTCGCAGGCTCCATTTCACCTCTAGAGGATCGCACAGGGCGGAGAAGGGAGGCAGGGCCCCCGGGCTGGAGTGTGAGGCTCTATGGAGCTCCAGTTTGAGAAAGGAGCCGGAGGTCCCGGGCCAGAGTTTTCGGCGCTGGAGAGCCCTAGCTTAAGAACGGGGTCAGGCATGCGGACACCGGGGGTGCCGGTCGGCGGGGGCTCACCTCGTAGATGGCGGCGAGATCCATGGCGGCGCGAACGGCCGATGGGCTGAGAAGTCGGCCAAAAGTGGGAGCGCTGAAGTCAGGCTGCGGTTGGCTGGTGGAGCCGGTGTTTTTATAGACATGAAGTGAGGAGGCGGGGCCAGTGGGGCCCGCCCGGGTGGGTGGGGCCAGGAGGGGCGCTTCCCGGACGCGCGCCCCCAGCAAGGCCCGCCCGGCACCCCGCCGGGACGCGCGGGGAGGCGGGCCCGCGACCGGGCGGG